TCTGTTCACACAGCTGCTGGTGAAGGTGCTCTTCTGGAGCCCTACGTGACCCTGTGGGTCCCGGATGAGGAAGCCCTTTGGAGCCCTGAGCCACCTGCAATCATAGGTTGCTTGGCAAGGAGGGCCAGTGGACTCCGAGCTTTTCACTCCAGCCTGCACAGGGATAAGGCCATACTGCATCCGGGAGTCTCCTTTCTGCTAAAGGTGGCCTCTGGTTTCCACTTCAGCCAGGAGCCGGTCCTACCCACCTTCTTCCCTAATTAGTGCACAGCGGCCGAAGGAGCCCTTCACACCTTGGACTCTAGAGGGGGACAAGCTTTCTGTCTGGACAGGATTGTCCCCTTCAGGAGAAGGCCTGCCTGCTTCCTGAGTCACGCCGGCCCCAACAAAGAGCTGACTGCACTTGAGGCGCTGGGGGCTGAGCCCATTAGGCGACCACTACTGAGAACTGCCAGATCATGTCCCCCCAGAAAGAACTGTAGCAGCAACCTCTACAGAGGATTCTGCAGGGCAGCCACTTGGTCTCAGCTTCCCACATCTATGAGACACCATGCCTTGGGTGTCAAAGCTCAGGAGGAGGCATGGCTGCATCTCTGCCCACCTCCAAGTATGTCGCTTTGCTAATGTAGTCCCATTTGAGGTGATGTTCTGTGCACCTTGGTGTTCAGTCATGCCAGCCATATGACTATGTCTTTGGACAGCGCTGGCTCTTCAGCTTGGAAATGGAGATGAGCACTGCCCCCTAAGCAATGTTCCCTCTAAGCCGTGGAGTCTTGTGAGCGAAAATTCCACTTTGTGAGCAACTGGCACCAAAGTTGTGAGCAAGCAACTTGGCTACTGCATAAATTAGGTTATTCTGGAGCCCAATCCTTCCTGAGCTAAGACAAAAAATGTGTGAGCCGGAGGCTAAAAAGCTGTGAGCTAGCTCACACTAACTCAGCTTAGAGGGAACACTGCCCCCTAGAGTCAGATTCAACTAGCTTTCAAGCAAGGGAAAACTTTACCGTTTACCGGAGACCACAAAGAGATAGAACAGGCTGTCTGATTATCTGTGCAGTCACAGAGCCCACCCTCCTTCCCAGCAAGAGATGTCTTGCTTTTCGCGTGCCGTGGCATTCTCTGAGTGACAACGGAGAAGAATGTTGTGTCTCCTGCCTAGAGGTGCATGGGAAGTGCAGGCCAAAAGGCTTTGCTCTAGAAGGTTCTAGATTCAGGCCTTGTATGGGCACTGCACCCACTGGTGTGACTTGCACTTGAAGAATGTCAGTTATAGGCAGTGTTCCCTCTAAGCTGAGTTAGTGTGAGCTACCTCAGAGTTTTTTAGCCTCTGGCTCACACATTTTTGTCTTAGCTCAGGAAGGATGGGGCTCCAGAGCAAACTAATTTATACAGCAGCCAAATCGCTCACTCACAGCTTTAATGCCAGTAGCTCACAAAGTAGAATTTTTGTTCACAAGACTCCAAAGCTTAGAGGGAACATTGGTTATAGGTAAGCCACCTGGTCGTCTTCCCCCCCCCCCGGTTAATTGTATGCAGTATCTTGTTTTGAGAACCTGTGGTGGCTGCAGAGTGTGTGACATAATGCCAGCATCATTTCAGTGGGTGTTATGTGTGCAGAAGTGAAATCCAGGATGGTTCACCCAAAAACATCCTGTGGATTTGAGCGGAGAAGGGTGGGGCCGCAAGAAAGGAAGGCTGTTCTTCGTTTTGCCTACCTCTCTTTCCCAGGTCTTGCATCTGACCCTCCCCCCCTCCCCCTCTGCAGATGACAGCTGCCAAGACCAAGCCGGAACGAACTGTGCCCTGGCCATGAAGGTGAACCTCTGCAGCCACTGGTACTACAGTAAAGCCTGCTGCAGGTCCTGCCGAGCTCCACATTCCTAGGAGGGGAGAGCAGGGGGTCCCCAGTTTCCAAAGAGCAGCAGGAGGATGTGAGAGCAGACCCTCCTGCTTGTCTGCTGCACCACTGAAGAGCAGGGCTAGAAGGCCTGGACATTGGAGAGGTCTCCTCCACCTTCTTCCTTCCTCTCTCTGTCTCTTTCGTGCTTCAGCATGAAGGAATAGTCTACTTTTCTCTCTTTGCCTTTCAGCACAAACTTTGGTACTACTGTCCACCAGCCCTACCTGCTTGTAAAGAAGCCGCGGACGTAGGGCCATAAAGATGGATCTGGTTCTTCTTCCTCAGGCTGTGATTTTCCTTTCGTTCACCATTTCCTAGTAGCTTAGCAGGATTTATATCCAGATGAGTCTTTTCATTTCAGATGCTCCCTTCAGTGCCAGAGAGATTCTGAGCATTTGTGTACACACGTCCCAACCCCTCTGCTTGGCATCCAAAGCCTCTCTGACCAGACCAGTTTGCACCGATTCAAGCTGAAGAGGTTCTAATGTCATGCTTGATGAGAAGCCCCTTGGTTTGGGGGTTGCTTTTTTAACCAGAAGGGCAAACCTCTGGGGTTTACAGCTTGCATGACAAGGATGCGTTCTATCAAGTCAAAGGCCAGGCCAGCCATCTGTCTTGCTCCTGACCCCGCTACAGCAGGCAGACGACTCACTTTAAAACAAACACACACACACACACACACCAACTTAGGATGCCACAGATAATTCTATCTATGTATACATTCCTACTTTGCTTTATTGAAAAAAATTAAATATTTTAAGGACAGTTACAAAACTGATTTGGGAATTGTGTGGGTGGGTGTGGGGGAATGTGTTTTGATGATATCATGGGCCAACATGTGCCTTTCACAGCTGGTGTCTGCTGCAAACATACAGAACCAGTTCCTTTTCGCTATGCAGTCCTGGAGAGGGAAAAGGACATTTGGACAAGGCGAAGGAGGGCACTTCAAGCATCCTCTCCACGGTTCTTCCATGACTGTTTTGTCTTTCTTCAGCTTGACTTCCCTTACATGCTTCCCTATTCAGCCCCCCCCCCCCCGCAGTCATGGTGACCTGAAATTAATGCTGCCCAGGCAGTTAACGCCAAAGCCCATTAGATGTAATATGTAGGTGTGTACTTTTTCCAGAGAATTTTATCTTGTAATCTAACCCCAGGCCTGTAGTCCATAATTAAAATGACATAATGCCAACATATTGTATAGAATAATGAAAACATAACAGCACTTTATATCACAAAAAAGAGATGTGTGCTCTTTTTTAATATATTTGTTTACAAATGGTGAACTTTATCCCTGTAACCATAGAACTGTACCCATATGGACATTTTAAATAAATTTTGATGTATTTATGGTGCCAGAGACTTCTCTTGGAGTTTGTCTGTGTTTTGGATACTGAATAAAAAGGGGGAAATACTGACAACCTGTAAAAGTGTAGAAAAACCATCTGGGGGGGGGTCTTAAAACCTGGCCCCCAATGTTTCTGGATACTCCCAAATATTTCCAGAATTTTTCAGAACCCATTTAACGGTAGCCAGAAAAATCCCAGATACATTTTGGATACCTAAAATATATCAGAAAAATATAAAACGTGCAACCCTAGTAGCTACACTCCCCCCACCACCGTCCATTTTTTTGGGACAAGTCACAATGTCCATAGATGTTTGGGCTGCAGATCTTTGTTCCTTTCCCCTTCTTGACTCAGTATTGTCTTCCACCCCACCTGAAGAACAGAAGGCTTTAGAAAGAAGAAGAGGAGTCTCAGAGTGGCTGACAATCTTTCCCTTCCCCTCCCCACAACAGACACCCTGTGAGGTAGGTGGGGCTGAGAGAGCTCTCCCGAGAACTGCTCATGAGAGAACAGCTTTGAAAGAACTTGTCACTGACCCAAGGTCACACCAGTAGCATGTGGAGGAGTGGGGAATCAAGCCTGGTTCTCGCAGATTAGAGTCCGTGCGCCTAACCACTATGCCAGACTTAATTCAGTAATTCTCCCTTGCTTGTATTCTAAAACAGGAAACACAATTCAGGAAACAGATGTGCCTTCACTATCGCAAATTTGGGAAACAAAGTATTAGAAACTTTTTTAAAAAGAAAGAAAGAAAAGTTGAAATACTGACGTACTGGAGTTTTGCACTTTGGGTGGCTTATTGGGCCTTGCGCAGAATCCCAACCTTGTTGATGCTACTAATAAAGTCAAAGATAAGAGTTTGTCATTTTTTTTATTTTTGTTCTCAGAGTTTGTAAGTCCTGTACAAGATTACCACATGTGAAGGTGAAGTAATGAGATGGAATTTAAAATACATACTAGAAAAAAAGAAAAATAGGAAGATTAAACACAATCACATATTAAATGCAACAAATCCAAAAAGGTTTTTTGAAACGCCGTTGAAACAAATGCAATTTTTAAGAATTGTATACAAAATTGACCCAGAATTCTGCAGAAGCGGCTGCTGTTACATCAGATCACGTCAAAGACTGAACACCAATCTCCAGCGAAACACAGCAACAGAAACTGGGCACATTTTTTTTTCTGAATTGTGTGCCTCCAAATTGGACACAACCCAGGTAAAATACTGAAATTAGTTATGAACCGAAAGAGGAGGAAAAAATAATCACCACTCCAGCCCAAGAAATGCCAGTGTTTTAAGCTATCAAGCTGTAAAAGAATCGACTTGTCTGTGAAAACAATGCCTGACGATTTAGAAAATGCTTGAGCTTGAAGTTTCTAGCCAAGGCTGCAGAAGGTCTTTCAGTCTTAAAAGCAATGCTCACCCCGCCACCCACATGGTGGGTGCAGCGTGCTCACAGAATTGTCTCTCCAAGCCACCCACTGGAATGTGCGGCCACCTTGTGTAGCAAGTGCTGGGCAGAGCATTGAGTCCAGAAATCATACAACGCTAAGAAAGTAGAAACAAGTTCTTTGTATGCCCCAACAGCAACACGTTCTCAAGGTGAGGCAAAGGCCTGCTTCATTTCTTTGCCAACATCACTTGGCATGGTTGAAAGGATGAGATCACATTTTAACTGGAAGGCAAAGAACGGGTCCAGAATGGGTCCTGTGGTCAAGCTCTTCATTGTGACTGACGAGGGGGGGGGAGTTTTTTTAGAGAAGGAAGGCTGCCCAAGGGCTGTGAGAGCTCGATGGTTTGGTGCATGTTACATTAAATGTTGCCACACTGGGCATTATTTTCGATGAAGCCAGCTGAGATGGAATTCCCCATCTGCTCACCATGGTTCCATTCCAACAGTTAGCAACCCACTGGTAGAATCTTACTGAAATTTATTCTGAACACATTTACTTCATCATGACAACCACAAGCTCAAAAAAAAAAAAATATTCCGCAGGTTAGGAAAGGCACAAACAGGTATAGGAAAAAGCCTGCATGGTTAACAAACAAAGTAAGGGAAGCTGTAAAAGGTAAAGCGGATTCCTTTAAGCAGTGGAAAGCTAGTCACAGTGAGGCTGATAAAACGGAACACAGGCTATGGCAAATAAAATGCAAGTCTGTGGTCAGGCAGGCAAAAAGGGAATATGAGGAGCATATAGCAAAAAACGTAAAAACCAGCAATAAAACTTTCTTCAAATACATTAGAAGCAGGAAACCAGCCAGGGAGGCAGTGGGGCCCTTGGATGACCAAGGGGTAAAAGGAGTACTGAAGGATGATAGGGAACCGCTGATTTTGGGAGGGGTGTTGAAAGACCTGAGTCATATTGAGGTGATGCGAGAGGAGGTCCTAAAACTGATAGGCAACTTAAAAACTGATAAATCACCAGGCCCAGATGGCATACATCTGAGACTTCTGAAAGAACTCAAATGTGAACTTCTGGATCTCCTTACAAAAATATGTAATCTTTCCTTAAAATCAGCCTCTATTCCTGAGGACTGGAAGGTAGCTAATGTCACTCCCATCTTTAAAAAGGGTTCCAGAGGAGATCCAGGAAATTACAGGCCAGTCAGTCTGACATCGATACTGGGTAAATTGGTGGAAACCGTTATTAAGGAAAGAATTAGTAGGCACATAGATGAACAAAACCTATTGAGGCAGACTCAGCACGGTTTCTGTAAGGGAAGATCTTGTCTCACTAACCTGTTAGTGTTCTTTGAGGGGGTGAACAAACATGTGGACAAGGGGGATCCAATAGATATTATTTACCTTGACTTCCAGAAAGCTTTTGATAAAGTTCCTCATCAAAGGCTCCTAAGTAAGCTCAAAAATCATGGGATAAAAGGACAAGTCCTTTTATGGATCAAAAACTGGCTAATTAATAGAAAACAGAGAGTGAGTATAAATGGGCAATTTTCTCAGTGGAGGGTGGTAAGCAGTGGGGTACCGCAGGGATCAGTACTTGGTCCACTGCTTTTTAACTTGTTCGTTAATGATTTGGAGTTGGGAGTAAGCAGTGAAGTGGCTAAATTTGCGGATGATACGAAGTTGTTTAGGGCGGTGAAAACCAGTGAGGATTGTGAGGCACTCCAAAGGGATCTGTCAAGGATGGGCAAGTGGGCGTCAACATGGCAAACGGGGTTCAATGTGGCCAAGTGCAAGGTGAGCCAAAAATCCTAAATATAAATATACATTGATGGGGTCTGAACTGGCAGAGACTGAAAAAAGTGCAGAAAAGGGCAACTCGAATGATAAAAGGGTTGGAACACTTTCCTTATGAGGAAAGGTTAAAGCGCTTAGGGCTCTTTAGCTTGGAGAAACGACGACTGAGGGGTGACATGATTGAGGTTTATAAGATTATGCATGGGAAAGAGCAGGTA